AAGTGTTACAAACTGATGAGACTTACTAATAAGCAGTGCTGCTGCAGAGTTAGGAGGATGTTTGGGGGCACCCTTGTTTAAGAAAGGGGTGGAGATTACATTTTTAAAGGGAATTGGGGAGTCAATTACACAGGGAGTGTATGAAAACTACTTCAATGTTTGGAGATGGTTAGTTCAGTCTATAGAATTTTCTGGCTACTGCTTGGTCTGAGCTGAACCTCTGCAGTAGGAGACAGTTATTTTTGGCTATGGCTATTGGAAATTAAATACTTATTTACTCAATAATGCAGTTTTAATTAGAAAGGTGCAAGGTATCTTTATGGAATCAAAACTGGTTTGGGAGATTTATGGATCTCAGATAGAATGGTGGAAATTGAACATATGGAGCCTGGTGACTTCTTTATTTTCCTTTTTTCAGAATATCCATTAAAGAATCCTAGCACAGAGAAGGTATAGAGGGACCCTGCTCATATCATAATTCAGGAATATCTTAGTGAATTCTTTCAGGGAAACACCATCCCTAATTTCTAGCAGCAACAGTTTTGGAATAGTATTGCAGGGGAGCCAATATTGAAAGATAAGGAACAGGACTTACTTATGAAGCCAACAAAGGAGGCGGATGTTAGTGCAGGAATCTTGTCATGAAGCAGGAATCTTCCCTGGAGTGAGATAATTTGATAATAGAATTTTATCAGAGGTGTATGGATCTCTTTTCTGTCATGCTCTCCTGTGCATTGAGCAATGCCTTGACTAGAGGCAGATTGGCATCTTCCTTTTGTGAAGACTTTTTGATTCATTCATTCATTGATTTGCAACAAAAATAAAGGGGTGGGGATTTGGAAGATATCAGGAATTGGTTGCTATGGACCTTCTAAACATGGACCACAAAATTTTGGCTTTGTTCTAGCCAAGAGCTTGGGGAAAATAGCAAATAATTATTACATTTCAGGAAATCTAATGTAGCTCAAGGGTACACAGTGTTAGATGTTTCATGTAATTTGCAGTAAGAATTTGGAAATACAAGATGGGTTGAAAAGGAATATTAGGTTTGACCTCGCATCAGGCCCAAACTTCCAACAGAGTAAACCTGTCTTATTTACGGTTGCCCTTGTCTCTATATGGAATTCCCTTGCAGATCATTATCTGTCTATGTATCTTGTAAATTCATACAGTCTGCACCCCTTCAATAGGTGGAGAGGACTAAGGCAAGATTGTCCACTGATTACATTATTAAATTGTTTTTCTTTGGACCTTTTACTGTGAGCAGTATTTTATAACAGGAGATTTTCCATTTTAAACGAGCAGAGAAAGAAAGAAAAACTCCACTCCATCAATTAAAATTGTCACCCACATAGATGATTTCACCGGGCTGGTGGAGAATATAGGAAGATAAGAATGTATTTTTGATAACTTAAACAATTATTCTATTTCAACCAGAGCAGTGATTAATGTGAAGAAGGATAAGACTTTATGGATGAGGATTTCATAGTACTCTTTTCTTCTTCCAGACGCATTATATATTGTAACAAGCCATTCTCAAATTGTTGATTATTTGGGATTGACCTTCGGTGATGATTTGGCAGCTAAACTGAAGGAGAAGACGATGCTACTGTAGAAGAGGTAGACCCTGATATTGGCAGAAAGATTAATGTTAATTAAAACATTGCTTTTACTTGTTTGTATTTCTATGACATATGTATATCCTCTTCCTGGAAAATTGTTGGTCAAAATGACAAGGTTATTTTTTCAGAAGCTCTGGAGCAATAAATGTTACTTAGTGAAGGGCATTTGGAGACAGTGTGCCATGAACCTCTCTTGAAAGTGTTTTTATATTTAATAGGGATTATGCAACTGGGGATAGAAGATGGCCACTTCTTTTCCAGTATAGCTGGGAAATGACAAAGGGGAAGAAATGGGCTATGTAGTGGGGAAAATGTGATGAAGCCCCTAGAAGAATATTTTTTCTTCTTCCAATAGCAGGCTGTATCTCCCAGGTGCAAAGTCAGGGAATAGCATTTGAGCACCTTGGCTCACAGTTTAGGTGAGATCTGTATCAAAGAGAACTTAAGGAATATTTTTCAGAAAGCCATTTAGCAGTTTTGAATTGTCCACAAGATTGTCTCAGTTATACATTGGGTATTCCCTTCACATATAAGGGTATGAAGTGGCACGCATTTATGATAAACTTTATGTCAGAGGCAACCAATAAAGGAAACAGTGTAGATAAGGGCTGTCTCAGGAAGCCTGCTGTGGATCAGAGAAAACTATGGAACACTTTCTAATATTCCACTCCTTTAACATCTGCATATAGCCTCAGAACTGAGAGTTCCACTGTTGTGTGCCCGGACTTAAAGCCAGTTTGGCTTTTGGACTTTTCCAGTCACTGGAGGATTTGGCATATCCCTGAATAAGGAGACACAAGCATTTGCTGCATATATGCCTTAAGACTCTGACAGTTGTTGATGTAGCAGTTTTATACTACCTAGGGCAAAGCCACTCTTCAGCCCATTTTCAGAGACAGAACAACTCACCTGAAACTCTAACTTGTGCTATTTGTTCAATTGTTCAGTTGCTAGCAATGGCTTTGTAAGAACAGATGAGTTTGACAAAATGGCAATTGGTATGAGAGCCTATGATATCAAATTGACCTTCTAGTGTTCATCACAAACAGTCTGGCATGAAAAGGTTTCAGATGTTTGCTTTTGAGAGTGATCCCAATTGTGACTTGAATTTTTGGCATTGGTTTTGAAGTTTTATTTAATAAACATGAACAGAGACAGAAATACAAACAGTATTAACCAGCGGGCTGAGAGGGACAAGTTTGGCATGTAATAATAGAGATAAAACAAAAAACATAGGTCTAGAGAAAAAATAGATTTCATGCTATCTGTTGCTTTACTCTTTGGGAGTTTCTAAAAATCTATGGTAATCAACACTTCTAAAAACATGCATAGATAGAAAAATTGAGAGAGATCCAAGATTGTTGAGTGATCGAAGCTTCTGAGCTGCATCCATTTATGGTGCAGGTTGACCCTCTCTACTCTGGCACTCTCTGGTCCGGCAACATCCATGGTTCGGCATTATTTTAGTTAGCCTGATGTCCACTTATTATGGGTGTGGCCAAGTTTCCCGTGGTCCCATAATGTTTGTTTTAGACACCAGATCTGTGTGTGAGTGTTTCGTGCTGTTATTTAGCTCAAATTTACCCCGAAATGTCTTCTAAGAGCCTAGTAAGCAACGGAAGTATAATGTTGCTAGACAATATTAATCTCACATAGTTCTGCAACCAATAGATCAGTGTTTGATTTTAGTTTACATCTATTTATGTGATGATTATGCTTTGTAAAAATGAACAGGGACTATTTTGGCACTGTAACACTGGTATAGATAAGCTTGAGAGATAGCACTATCATTTTGTAACTTCCTATTTTCAGACACATACATTTGAGACAAAACCTTTGCATTTTTATGTTCAACCTACAACAAAATTTTCTCCATGTTTTCTCAACTGTATCTGGATTATTGGACTCACCACAAAATGCATACATATAACACAAACATTGTTTTTTGCATGAAAAATCTCAAGTATCTTTTCAAATCAAATTGGGGATATGATTTGTTTTTAATGAGGACCAAATACTGTTCTCATTGTGCACAATATTCATTTTACATAATCTGTTTATTTTACATGGATTACATGAAGTACAAGAAAAGAAAAGTAATTTTGAGTTTCATTAATGTGAAAATTATTACACTTATAGCAACAACCAAGAAGTGCAGCTTTGGTGTGCTGTGCTGTTTTGCTGTGATGTTTGTCTTGTGGTCAATTCTTTGCTGAGACTAATGGTGGTAATTATGGGATATGAAATAGTTTTTTAGATTTTTGCCTACTTAAGGCAGAGTATAGGCTGATTACCCATGTTCTATGATACAGTATTTATTTACTTCATATCTTGGCACAGAATTTATAGTAGGGAATGCATATTCTATATTCTTAAATACTATTGATGAACATTATATATTACAGAGACACAAAGTGAATAGATCACATAGATGACAGAGGGTGTATACATATAAAGCATTTTCATACAGAAGTTCTTTTGACATTTATATATGTAGTGGGCCTGCGAGATAGGGCTCAGATATGAGGAGATAAAAGGAGAGACATCCATAGGGCCAAAAAGGAGCAAGCTAGATCATGGGTAAGTGGAAAGTATTTTATAATAATGAGATTATTATCTTAAAATGGTGATCTAGGCATGTGCAATGAAACATTTAAACTCATATTTTTGGTTCTAAATAGGAAAGTTAATTTCAAGATGGCCATCTTCACAGTGTCCATTTTGAGATAAACAGCTTTTTAAAATAGGTTAATGAAAAGAATTATCCCATCTTTGTTGCTGGCAGAAAGGGGAAAGAAAGTGACCTTATTTTTATAGTACTGCTCATCACAGTGATTGCAAATATTTCTTATTACCCAAATCAAGCAGAAAGCAATGTGTTGATCCAAATGCCACAGATGAATTACATATTTGATTGACACATGTGCAGGTTTTGTTATTGCAGCACCGATTTGTAACAAGACTGACTCCATCAACTTGAATTCAGTCCATGAAAAAATAAGATTGCCAGTGCCAAACTGAATTACCTTGGGATGTTGGAAATGATGATAATGATTCTCCAGCTACTAGATTATCTCTATGGAGTTTGTATTAACAGATGTGAAGTATGAGAGATGTTTTACAGATTGCATGAAAAAAAGGTTTTTATTTTCAGTCTGAATGCAAGCAGCTGATTTTTACTAAGATATTTATGTTGTTAGTGCTTCTTGTCATATCCCAGATTTTTATACTTTAGTTTATTTCTGTCACTGAAAAGATAAAGTGAAAAGTTACAATAAATTAGATATGTGAAAAGCAACACATAGAACTAGTAAAATAAATGATAATATTAGGTGACATGGTGACCTTACTGGTGTGTTAGCACAGACACATGGAGGCCATAGGATAATTGCTCTGGTAGGAGCAACAGATTCATATCTGCCTATTACTGGAAGAGGGCACAGAGGCTTCTGCTCTCCTGCTGCTGATATAGTTTTGCCTTTCCCCAGAAGCAGGAAACCCACACTGACCTAGTGTCTATACTAGAAAATTAAGTTATTCCAAAATAACAAAGAGTGTGTCTACACTATAAGCTATTATTTCAAGGACTTCTTACTCCAATTCCTGGTAACCCTCATTTATGAGGTGTAAGGGAAGCTGAAGGAAGAGTTTTCCTTCCAAAAGCCGAGTTAAGCTATTTCAACTTCAACTACTATTGACGTACCTCAATTTGCGTAGCTTAATTCAACTTTAGCCCTGCTGTGTGGATGTACCATTACCTCACTGGGCTGTTGTGTGGATTAATGAGATAAGCAGGTAAGCTTTTCAGCTGGGATATATTGTTACTGATCCATTAATACAATAGAGTGCTGACAAGCTACATTAGCTGACAGTCCTTCCCAGAATTTATGAATAATTCTGATAAAATAAAAACAAAATCCTACACAAAAAATATGGGCTTAGTCCTGAAATTTTTACTCAGTGAAGTATTTTACTCGTGCACCACTCCTTATTCGTATAAGTAATATCATTGAAGTCAAGAGGTTCCATGTAGGATCAGATGATTATTAACATCCCTCAGTTTTGCAACTGATCTACAAATCATATTCTCTTTCTAATGTGTGTATTTATTTACTAACAGTGGGCCAAATTATGTAACTCTGCTGGGGTTATATATAGAAACTTATTCAAAGGTCAATGAAAGCCCTGCTCACAAAACAGGCAGAATTTTCTAATTCCTGACAAAATATGCATTATATTTAAAATTCTTAAAACATTTACTAGGTTTCTCTTCTCTCTTGAAATGTTGTAGTAAAAAAATCTTCTTAAAAGGTATTGAATATGTATAGCAAAAATCTGACATGGAATATCTATAAAATCACAAATGCTGGAGCATTTCAAATATATCTCCCATGTAAATTTGTCAATCAAGTTTTAATGTCATGTTGGATGTACGGTAATAGTTATGTCACAAATCTAAAAAAGCCAGTAACATGTTCCTGATATAATAAAGGTTACATTTATTATTTTACCATAATTTATTATTCCGGTTACTGAGTTTTATGTCTTTCACAAAGAAAATATAAAACTTATGCTAGGTAATTAAATAGCTGATAAAATTACTAGAATTGAATTCATTTGACGCACACATTTTGAACCTAAAATACAAGTGTGACTGAGATTTTGAAGTTTACATGTATGTTATATCCCTTTCCTATCATGCTATGTGTGTCTTGTCAACTTTGTTTCTATGCTCTTTATGTCAAGGATTGTTTCCTACTATACGTTTGTACAGTATGTTGCACAATGAAGCCAGGTTATTGGGTATTACCGTAATACAAGTATTAACCACCCTATAATATGTATGAAATCATTGCAGACCAAAGAGAACCACACAAAAACTGTGTATTTTTGCCACCCAAAATAAATGTGGTTGCATAATTTTCAGAAAAATATAACCTTTTGTAAAAAAAAAAAAAATCAAAACTTAAAAGGATTGATTCAAAAGAAGGGTTGTAC